ATATTTATGTTTAAGGTGAATAACCTGGATAAAATCCGAATTGCGAATAACTTTTTAGCTGACCTGTAGCATCCATGGGTGGCTGGACTTTTAAAACTTCGTCTGTTTAGCACTAGTAAACTAATGGACGCCAAAACTACATAAATATTACACCTTCATAAAACTGAAACAGACATATACTGAATGTATTTCTCTAGACAGATTTGATATCGGTACAAGATAAACATTAAATTTTTTTACAATAGTTTTTTTGTGAATCTGGCGCCTACTACAATATTTAAAGGAATTTAGATTGATATACTTTTTTCTGAGAGTTCTGAAAACGCCTAAAAAGGGTACCAAAAATAGAAAATTCTTTATTTTCCCAATTTTTTCCATACTTTTTTCGCTATTTTTTGTCCTGACGCCATCTTTTTCGATCATACGGTATAATATTATACAAGGTGGTCCAAATTGTACTCAGGAAACTTCGGCAGCATATTAAATATTGTTCTTTCATTTTTATTTCGATTTTTTCTAAATAATTTTGGAATTAAAGTAAATGCCATTATTGTCAAAAAATTGGCGCCGGGACGCACAAGTTGGTAGGCAGTTCTTTTAGTTTCAAAGTAAAGGAATTTTTCCAATTTTTTTTTATATCAAAAACTGCGACTTTGACTGATTTTGATGTTATTACAAATTTTGTTGCAAATAATATTCCTAATCTTAAATTGAAAACCGCGTTTCGCTAGCTACTCTAATTTTGGAGTTACGATTTTTTAAAATTTTTAACTCCCTCCCATACCCCCTTACCAACCCCCCACCCCCACCAAAAACTAATGGCCAGATTCTCGGGTGCCACAGTATTTTTGTGCCAAATTTGGTTAAAATCGGTTCAGCGGTTTTTGAGTTATCGTGTTACAGACGGACAGGCAGACAAAAAATATGTAGGCAGCTCCCTCTACAAGTAGGAGTCATAATGACATCAGAAACAAATTTATCATGTCAAAAAACTCCCAGAAACCAATTTTCATCCAAATATCGATGTTGGTTCAAAAATTATTTGGAAAAAAAATGAAATTATAATGAAATTTCTAATTCACCCTGTATCTCCGAAACGAAGCCATTTTAGGACACAAATTTACCCGAAATTTTTTACTTATTTTTATCTCCAGGACATCTCAAAAAAAATTATTTTAATTTGTGAAATCTTAACTGAAAATGAACTTAAGAGAATTAAGTAATTAAAAAATCAATGAGAGCGATAATATATCCGGATTGATTTCATTATTTCGGGAGTTTCTTTAATATTTATCGCCCCTAATTAATAAGCCATTAAATGTTAATTCAAAAAAGGGCCAAGCTGCTAGGAATCACAACTTGAAAATAAACGGCGAAGACCTCAAGAAGCGGCTTAAAATCTGCTTAAGCGGAACGAACTTATCAATCATTAAATTCCCATCAATCAATCGTTGAATTTGCAACATCTTCACTTATCGCTTCACGAAGATACTTAGCCACACGCTTAGACCCGATAGACTACACATATCTGGTATTTCCACAACATTTTCCGCTGGTATTTTTCAAAATTATGCTTTAAAATAAATTGGGGTTCATTTTGTAGCTCATGAACTAAGAACACCTAATATTAACACATAAAATATATACAATTTATTATTTATTGTAAATAAAGAAACTCTTTTAGAACATAATTCACAAACAGAATCACTAACCGTATACACATTAATTTGCTGGAAAAGGCTGGGACAATACAATAAAATATTCTATAGAAGAGAGAAACAAGTATTTAGAATTTTAGAATTTAGAATGAGTGGGAGGGGGGTTAATCACTTCGACCTTACAGATCCATTGTGTCCCCCTTTCTTGAATCATAACTCATCATACAGTCCCAGGGCTTTGACAAAAGCCAGTATCTGGGACGGTTTTATAGAGGGTAGTTCTCCATCTCCAATATCAGTCGTACCAAAATTCATGGCACGAATGGTTGTCGTCTCGGCGCACTTAGTGATGAGGTGTAGTGGTGTTTTCCCATCTTCCCCACAGAATCTGCATTCGCCGTTTCTTCTTAGTTTCAATCTACTGAGGTGTTCATTGAGGAGACAGTGTCCTGTTAAAAACCCCGTCACAATCCAAAGGTTGTTCTTACTTAAACCCAGGAAGATCTGTGATTTTTCTTGATCATAAGCCCCCAGAAACTTCTTCGAGTGTCTTAGACCGTTGCAAGATTTCCATTCCAGGTTGCGGATGGAATCTTCCAAGTTCTTGAGTTCCGCCTTGAGTTGGTTACCACTTGGAAAGCAGAACGGTTCTGGTCCAGTTAGTGGAGTGTTCGCTCCTTTCCTAGCTAGATTATTTCCTTTTTCATTGCCTTCTATCCCTTGGTGAGCAGGCACCCAGTGTAGGAGGACTTTGTTTTCTTTGCCTAATTTATTCAGCTTCTCTATGCATTCTTTGACCAATTTCGAATTGATTGATACTGAGTTGATCGCCTTTAACGCTGCTTGACTATCAGATAAGATGGCTATTTCTTGTTTCCGATAGTTCCTATCTAAGATAAGTTGTACGCAACATATAAGTATTTAATTATGTAGTATTCAATTAGTATTTCCATTATTCTCTTAATATTTTTGAATTAATGCTATTAAAGTATTCGTTCCTTCCTCTAGGACATGCGAGGAGGAGGTAGATATCCACTCGTAGGTTGTCAGAGGAGGATGGGAAATACCCAGTCCTCCCTACAACAGCAAAATCCCCATGTATGATGAGTTATAGACTGACAATCGATTTTTAAGCAGTGATTAATCCCTCCTTCCTATGAAATGTTTACTGAAAATTCCTAATTTTAAATAACAGTTTTTTTGTGAAGTTATATTAAAAAGGGCGATTCTTTTAATACAAAAATAACAAGGTCAATCCAAGTATATTTTTTGGGTATTATATTTTTTATGAAAATTCTCAGTGATCCTGATGGAAATTATCCTCTCCGATTTTTTGTTGAAAGCTGATAATTTTAATATTTCTGCTACCCAATTTCAACCCTTATTTTTTTCGGTACGAAAGTATATAAAGAATGCGAACATTCGATGAAATCCAGGCTTCGACCTCAGTTCGGTGGCTAAATATTTGGAAATAAACTTGTTGAAAATATGCCTCGACATTAATTAGAGGAAAGGCATTTTCCAAATATTCCTTGTTAATTATTTTGGTTATTTCCACTCTAATATGTATATCCAATTGTATGGCAGAGAAATAATTTAAATATAACAAATTCAGGGCCTTCGTTATTGTGAAAGCGGTTTATACGAATTCATTTTCAGTCTTCAAATAAAACTAAACAAGCGTGGATATGTTCAAAAATGGTGCGAAAACAACAATTAAAAAAATCAGTTTTCTCACGAAAATAAAGCGCCTAATCATTTAAACGTCAGTATATTCTGAATCTACATAAAATTTCCTACAAATACTAAAATTTTCATATTTTTAATATTATGTTTACTCTCTTTCTAAGATCTGTGAAAATTAGTAAAAAATAGCCAAAAATTGACATTTTTCGACTTTTTTCCAATGAAAATTGCCATGATTTTCGTCATGTCACCGATTTTGATAAAACTGCTATTGTTTACTTATTAATGGTAGAATAAGAAATTATAGGCCATTGTAGTCCTACGAGAACTGTAATAGATGTAGGAGACTTTTAAATCTTCATCAAAAATAGCTGAAAAACAAGAGTCCAAAAAATTAATTTTCTGACTACGTAAAATTTTCTACAAATCCTGATATTTTCATAATTTTAGGACTATGTCTGCTATTTTTCTAAGCCCTATGAGAATGAGTAAAAAATTGCCAAAAATGGTCATTTTTTCGACTTTTTTCCATTATATTATTTCGTATATTTTTCATTTTATTGATTTTATGGAAAGCACTGTTCATTAAAATGTTGTATCCTATGTTATAGGGCTTGTTTCTCTCTACAATTTCCTGTCTCACAATGTACCGTTTGTGTCCAGGAAGGGTTCATGGTTTCATAGATGTCGATTTTCGAAAGAAATCAGTAAGGTATATTATTCCGTATATTTTTCATTTTATTGATTTTATGGAAAGCACTGTTCATTAAAATGTTGTATCCTATGTTATAGGGCTTGTTTCTCTCTACTATTTCCTGTCTCACAATGTACCGTTTGGGATCATAGTTTCAGAAAGAAGTTTCAAGGAAATCAGTACATGTACAGGGTACTTTTTTCCATACATGTCATGAAAATTGCCGATCTTTTTGAAATTGCTGTTATTTATTTTGACCTAGCGACTACACTAATAGATGTAGGTCAATTTTTAACGATCTTGAAAAATGGCTCAGAAACAAGGGTTCGAAAAATCTATTTCAACTCAAAACCAAACCATTTAAGTCTTCTAATGCTTATATTTTCTAAATCTAAATAAAAATTTCCTATAAATGCTGAAATTTTCAGAATGTAATTTTTATGCTTACAAATTTTCTAAGAGCTTTGAAGACGCGTAAAAAGGAGACCAATATTAATAATTTGTATTTTTATATATTTTGAACTGAATTAGCTTAAATATTTTTATTTTACACCCCTTTAAAGTCCTTTGAAGAAGGAAGAATATTTATAAGAAATGTACGTTTGAATGAAGTACTATAAAAATACGGAAATTTGATTAAAATATTTTTATTTATACCAGCAATTTCTCTGGATATTAGCAAAATTCATCCGCTCCTTGAAGAATTTCTTTTGAATAATTAAGTCGAATTCAAAAAATAAAGTTGTAATATTCTCCATGATGTTTCTTCGCCCAACTTTTCGCAACATCATTAATAATGCGAGCCAAAATTACAGAGCTTTAGTAGCTTTAAACGATTCCAGCCCAAACGTACATTTAAAAAAATGCAAAAGTATCTTTATTTGGAGAAGTAATAAAGAAAGTTATAAGGAAAATTGGTTTTAATTGGGCCGAAAATTCAAATATAAACTTTCTTCTACTTTGCAGTAAAATAAATCGACATAATTTTTGTGATTTTTTCTGTATTAAAACATATTTTTATGTTTACTATGGTGTCCGATCTACAAAGTTGATCATTTTTCTCACGACCCCCTCTAAAACTTTTAGGTTATTGTCTAAAAAAAATAACAGACCATTGTAAAGCCT